TGGTACGAAAAAATTTAGAAATGATTTAAAAAAGGTCTCCATTTTGTCGCAGGACTTATTTGCCAACCTAATAGCTTCCATAGCTCATCGGCTCGTCACGGTGGAGCAATTTTTATAAAATCTTTCAGGAAATCTCTGCAAAAAAGTGCCAAAAGGGAGGGAGAGGTTCAGTCCTGAGCTGTTTCTTACCATTAGACGACTATTTTCGCGTCACGAATTTCCAACGGCTTATTCTCTTAGGTAAACTTTACTTGCTCTGCCAAAGTAGCATTAGTGAGAGCATTGGGAGCAATTCTTTCGTATGAGCTCCATCCAAAAGCCACGCAGAAATGCACATTGAACTTATGAGCTTTTCTAATTGCTGCTATTAGAAATAGTGGAATGAGTTTTCCTGCCACCTGGTGAGGTTCAGTCTCGTTCGTTTTCACCTAATTTCTCGAGCTTTCATGATTGCCTTTGGAGCCCCTTTTACTGAACTCTGGGTCAGTAAACAAGCCGATGGACTTACTCACCAACCATGACTGAAATAAAGCACTGGCTAACCGACTGGCTCCGTCAACCATTTGCACGTATCGTCTGATTTGAGATCATCTGTCATCAAATCTCGCTTGTTCATGTCCTTGTTGAAGTGTATCCACGCCACTACAATTCTGAATGTATCAACCTCTCTATTTTTTTTCTTCTCATCAAAATTCATGCCATACTCTTTTTGTGATTCCATTTCCTCACTACCAAAAGGTTTTTCGAGCTCTTGTGGCTGGATTGATTCCATAATTCCTTAGAACTGTTTCTTAGAGTTTATTTGCTGAGAACATTTCAAAATGACTGAACTAGAAAATATCTGGTAACCTAAGCTGCTCTGTTGCTTGCTGTGGTTTTACTTGGCTGGACCCACAATTTGGATGGGCATTTATGGTTTTGTATGACTGGAAAAAATCTTGTAAAAATGTAGCAAAATCCGCTACAGAACGTCAAAGTTGCCTGCCGCCTGTGAAAATGCTTGGCGAGTAAGGTTCTGGATAGGTTTCAACGTATCAGGTCGAGCCCCATGTCAACTTCAGGCACCTCCAAACTAATAAACCTTTTTTTTTTGGAAGAAACCTAACCCCATTACACACTTCCGACAAAGTTCCAGGATCTCGCCTCTAGAAAAAGCAAAATCTCAAAGAGTAGCCTCTTAACTTCTTCGGGTGTTTCGCACATCTTGATTAGGTACTCAACCAAGATCCGCAGGTTATGGGGGATTTCTTTCGGTTTACAAAGTGAAAAGAGAACTCCTTCGACATCGATCGATTATGAGATAGCTTTTAGGACGCTCCAACGAGATTGACTCACATTGTAATGGTTTTCAATAGGATCACTAGCGAATGAGCTGCTTGAAGCAGCCTACGTACAAGGCAGCCTTTGTATACTTCTAGACAGGTATGTTGCGAACTAGCCGACTTCAAGTAATGGAAGGCGAAAAACAGGTAATCTCCAAACCACAGGAAGGACTTAGCCCTATATAGCCTGGCCTTGATTGCTTGGATAATACTGAAAAGCGATAATAAATCACTGATTCGGCGACAACATAGGTTTTTGTTGAGCTGTGTTACGAACACAGAAAATAGGATTGTGTAAGCGACAAATTGAGTCGTGAAATGAGTAGGCGGCAGCAAGTAAACAGTGCTAATAAAGATCAGTACAAATTGTTTACAAACCACCCCCAAAAGGGGAAGCACGTCAACAAAATCGTCTGGATTTCAAATTGCGATCGGCGTAAAGTTTGCAAATATTATGGAGTTTGTTTGTGGACCCGAACTTCGGATCCTTTGAGTAATCTTAACCAGTTCTACCGACCACAATCTTTTCGTTCCTCTCATTTACTTTGCCTTCATAATAGTAGTCGTGAACGACAAGTAACTCCTTTCCCTTTATACTGGTCCCTAATTCTGTAGTTGCTCAGTTATCAACATACTACCCTCCCGGATGTAACGAGATCCAGTAAGATGGAAAGAAGTCTCAAAATGTCGGAGTGGTCGCTGTTAGCTTTATTTCAAGCTGTACAGCGATTAAGACCAGGCAGCTAAAGCGGCCTAATTCAGCTGAGTACTCCGTGAAAAGCGACACGAGCTTTGTTTTCCATTTGTCAAAGTGAAATGACGATATTTTGAGACACCAGCCAGCGATCCTTTCCTAATCTTTCGAAAAATACGCTCATAGGCTGACGCCTTTCCGGCTGGATTATTTGTGATTGTAAAGTTTTTCGGGTGTCGCTTTACTATACACAGAACCCAGTTCATCTCTTGGCACCTGAGAAGAACAAAAATTTCAAACACTCGACTATGCTCTGCGAAGGCGATTGCACCCCTCGAGCCCTATTACCTACATCATTACCATCCCTAGAAAAGGTGGGAAATATGTTCTTATGCAGAAGGTCCTATAGAGGAGTTACAGTAGGAGAAAGCGTCAGGAGAAAGTTAATCTCAATCGCGTTATTAATCGGGTCATCTTGCCAATGTCTTCTATCCTCATAAAAATCGACCATTAGTCTCCACGCTCTCTGAGGCAAGCTTATCTGTCCATGGCAGCACTTCATTCCACTCAAACGGCTCACGCCCTAAGCGCCGATTCTTGGAACCAATTCTTGGGAATTTTGGAAGGATGTCAAATGCATGGCTCCTCCAGAATTTGGCCAACTAAAGCACGTTCACAGCACTTTACTCGATAACGCAAATGGAAGAGTTCAATGTGTTGCACCCAAAAAGTACCCTTTTCAAATTCAATTCAGAAAAGTTCAACCAATGATTGTCTTTCCGAAAGTTAGAGGAAAAGGAAGTGTTCATTAGGGCCAAGCTGTTCCGTGAAAGCGGTCCGTATGCCTTCTTTTACATCTGCAAATCACCCTCCCAATTGCATCAGTCAGCATCTCTTTTTCCTGATGTTCTTAGTAGATAGGCTAGAAGACTGCTGTGAAAATCATAATTTCCGCGGTAAGGACGGTGCTTTTTCCGAGAAATGCTTTCCGTCAGAGTAAAAAATGAGGCACAAACACACATGAAAAACACATGTCCTGATCCCTGAAACCGAGTCAAAGGTTTATTAGGAAGCTATGGAGTAATGCCTGGTGCATGCCACAAACAGGATTAATCAACTCTGAAGGTTTCATCCCTCTATGGATCCACTTGAGACTTATTCACAACCGAAAGTCAACAACGCTAATGGTTCTCCTCTCCGCAGGACTAACTCACAGAGGTCAGCTGAAGAGCCGGTATCATGAATTCCTCATCGCACACTGGTGCTGAAAATGGGAACCAGAGCTGGAAGGGCAGGGTTCCTTTTAGCTAGGGCTTAAGTGATTTTCATTTTCAACAACAAGGAACGGTGAACAGCTGACCTTCGATTAACAAGGGTACTTTGGAATCCGTATATGATACAGATTAGGAATGTTTTGAAGCACAAGGAAGCGCAAAGGCTTCCCTGTGCTCCTACGTATCCACTGACCACAAAGCAGCCTAAGCAACGTGTAACACCCAGTTGCACCTTGCTTCGGCATCAACTTTCCTGTGCTTCCTATGGCATGTGAGTCTAACTCTCTACATGGAAGGTTTTTGACTTTGTTTCGGTGGCAAGTGTTTCTATCACTTTCAGCATCTTCTAGAAACATGGGCGAATGGAGTTTTCACACCGTTTCATACTCCGCTGCAAAGTGCCTTGTATTACTTTGTACCTATCTTTCTCATTCATTTTCATTCACATTTGACGACTTCTTTCTAATGATCGTTTCCATTCACAGACTTCATAGGAGTCTTTATATACCGAACATTATTATGCACCGAGACCTGATTTTATGAGAGTTTTAACGAATAGAACCGAGACAGATTCAATAAACTCCCTAACATCTCCCTCACATTCGTACAACGGTGCCCCCTGTTGGGAGATTGTTTTCCCTGTTAGCTTGCATATTTTCCCAGACACCCTGTAACCACGGCTTTAGATTGTTGTTTGTGTGCCCTGAGAGTGTTCACCTCAAATTCGGAAGCTTTGTTTGTCGGCGTTATTCCTTTGCTTGTGTTTATACTTCGCTCGTCACTTTGCCACTATTTCGGGAATAATATACATCAATAGGATTAAAAAAAAGTCCTACCCCTGTCAACCATTCTAGCAAGTTGAATGACAATCCGACTTTCATGACATTCATTTGTTTTCAAGTCGATCCACTATTACAAGAAGAAGTAAAATAGGTTATGAAGGGTATCCTAGAAGGAGTCACTCCTGCAGATTACCCAATAGCTCTTCAGGCATATCTTTTATGATGTGCAGGTGATTGAAAGCAACGGTACAGACTCGAAACGTGGATTCCACTTAATATCAGCGCGTCTAATGACCGCGTACGATCCTGAGACTCGAAAGCCTCATTTTTGGCCAATATATTTACAACAGGTTGTGTAGCCTTTCGGATAAACAATGAAAAGGAGAAAACCTGGCGGTCATGTGAACATCCAGGAAGGAGAGCCCAGGGATATCTCCACAGGTACTAGTGAATTAGATACTAGACCTCGTCAAGTTTTGTTTTCAACTCAATCCCTGCCTTCAAGCTTTCACGCTTTGAATCGGCGTGACCAGTCCCCACACTGAGTTGTCTAGTTAGCCGTCGTAGGAACCCTTGATTTCGTCAAAGCCCACTGGATGATGTTCCTTTGGGAGCTGGATATTTATAATACTTCAGCCTCGTCGCTACTAGCAAATCACTTGCAACTAACAGTCTCTCTTTGGAGTGCGAGGATTAAAGGCAATTTCACGATACAAATGGTCACTGAGATTTCTTTGATGAACTTGAGACCCCAAGGATAGCACAAAGTATGCTATCGAATTGAAAAACGGTCAAGATAGGGCGTAATAAGGGACCCAACAATCGACATAACCGAAGTGCACACCCAAGCGGGCGAGCTGTCATTGCGCTCTACAAGTTGTAGAGTTTTCAAAATTCGCACCGGGACCTACACGTTACACGCAGGCAGCTTACTGTGGGAGCTGTACGCAGTGGCAGTCACATTTGAACAGCTCGTCTAAGTGCCCCTCTAAATTTCAAGGTCACATGCTCGCCAGCCCTAACATTACTTCTTTATTAAAGCATTGTAGTACTAAATAGGCAATTTTCTTTTCATTTTTTTCCTGAAATTTTCGCGTTTTCTTCGCCAGCTCATTGCTAACACTAACACTTCCATTATTTATTTATTTATTTATTTATTTATTTATTTATTTAT